TCTCTCTCTCTCTCTCTCTCTCTCTCTCTCTCTCTCTCTCACACACACACACACACACACACACACACACACACACACACACACCTATATAGGAGATTGTAATTGGGTCCTTGCTCTTGCAAGGCAGGTGCCGGAACCACTGAGCTAAATCCCCGGCCCATGTTTCACTTTTAATTTACCTCAGCACTGAAGATGACAAAAGTACTTCGGAGACACAAAGGCAGCAAAGACAGTGAGAATTCCCCATGTTTTCCCTTAGAACCAGCAACTACCACCTAACCACTAGCACCTCCACAAAAACCAGCCACAAGGCTAAAGAAGAGGCAGGATTTGTTAGGACGTGGTATATTTTTTCACTAAAGATCAGAAAACTAAAACCATGGTCCTCTTATACCTTTTGGTAAGCATGTTAGATTTTCTAAGAACAGCTTTCCAATGTAGATTGATCAATGATTTTGTTAAAATAGTCTACAAAAGTTTATGTCAATTTGGCTTTGGACTTTGTGTTTTAAATGCAGGTTGAGAATCTCTAATCCAAAATCCGAAGCATTTTGAGTGCTGATATGATGCCTCAGGTGGAGAATTCCATAGCTGACCTCATATAGTGCCTCACACTGAAATCTCAGATGTACTAGAAATATTGTATAAACATCTTTGGGCTATGTGGATGAGGATTATATGAATTTAAATGAATTTTGTGCTTAGACTTGGGTGCCATCCCCTAGATGTCTTGTACATACACAGATATTCCAAAATCTTTTTAAAAATCCCAAATCCAAAACATATCTGGTCCTTTTCAGATAATGGACACTCAACCTGTATCAGTGTTTCTTAAACTATCTTCAAGGGTATGAATTTTATGGAAAAGGTCTCTACTCTTTCTGCAGACGTTCTCATTAATACGTTCCATGAAATTTATCTATGAGTACATGTTTCCTGAGCATTTACTGGTACCAGGTCCCAAGGACACAACAGTGAATGAGAGGGACAGAGCCCTGCTGGTGAGGGTCAGCATTTGAACAGGGAGACAGAATAAGCAGGTATGTAACATGTTAGACGTCACAAGGGCCTGAAGTGTGAAAGGCAGCACACAGCTTAGGAAGGGGAGCTGCTCTTATGTCCGCAGTGTTCTGGGAGTGACGCCGATGTGTGGTGTCTGGGCTGGAGGTGAGAGTGCTGGGGCACAGCCAGTCACTGTGGATGTCCAGGTGAGAGCGTCCGAGGTCGGGGAGCGTCTGATTGCTGGAGGAGTGCCAGGAGGCAGCCGTGGCCAACGCAGAGCCAGAAAGCTGGCAGGAGAAGGAGGTGGTGTGGGTGGACTTCGGGGACAACTGGAGTGCTTGTCATGCAGGGCTGCTCACTTTTGGTGGGGGATTGAGGCAGGGTCTTGCTTTGTTGTTCAGGCTAGCCTTGAATTCACAGCGATCCTTGCCTCAGACTCCCAAGTGCTGGGATTACAGGTGTTTGCCACTATGCCCAGCTTAGTTCTGACTTTCGGAAACAAACTTTACCCAGGAAACAGGGTTCTGACTCCATGGCCTGGGCAGAGCGTCCAAAGTAACCCTCTGTAATTCGTAAGTGGTTGCGTTTGGAGACACAGTGAGACACAGTGAGGTTTTATTCTGAGTGAGGTGGCTCTACCAAGAGGAGGGCCGTGACACAACTTGTTTTAGGATTCACTCCCACTACTCTGTGGGCCCGAATGGGGCAAAGCTGCAGCAGAAACATTAGGAGGCCTCTGTAGTGGTGAGGGCTTGGCCCCTCGCAGTAGTGGTGGCAGTGGTGGCAGAGGGACTAGTTCTGAACATTCTGAGGAAGAGTCAGTGTGGTTTGCTCATAATTAGGTGTGTGGGTGATGAGGAGGCAAAAGAAACTGGAAGAGGAAAAGCTGGGGAACAAATTAGGAATTAGATTTTGGTTGCTTGATGACTTGAGTGTGGAGTTCAGGAGATGTTGGGAGAGCTATAAACATGCAGGTCTACCACATGTACCTGTAAATAGTGTGTAAGGCTGCGAGGAGCTTCCCAGGGAGATGGTCTGCTCGTATTGCTTGTCCCCACCTTTCTCAAGTGTGGGGCTCCTCACAATGACCTTCCTTATGGACTCTCCATACTGTCACTTAAGAATTTTAGGATGGGAACAAAGAGAGCGGATGGGTCTTGTTCCCAGAAGGTCTGGGAAAACATTCAGAGGACAGACCTGATCAGAAGCCAGAGCACATGCTTGCTGACAAAGGAAGCCAGAAGAGGCGACTCAGACAGGAGCAGGGAGCGCAAAGCTTGAGGGAATGAGAACTAGCATCTAAGACTGTATTGGGAATTCCATGTAGACAGGTGGTCAGGGGTTGCGGGACAGAGGCAGAGCACTGCAAAGGCAGGCCTCACTTTCGGGCAAAGAGAAGGGATGCTTTGATTTGTGTCTTGAAAAGGTCCCAGGCCAGCCCCAGGAGGATGAGCAGACAGAAGGACCTGGACACACCTTTTAGCTGACCTTTAGGGAAGGGAGATAAAGGCTATCAGGTCAACAGCGTGGAATGAAGAGATGAATTCAGGAGATTATTTTCACCTGGGGGGCAGGAATAGTTGCTGCATATGTGACAGAGTACCAATATCCCAACTAGGAAAGGGTGTACCCCAGGAGGAAACCTGGCAGAAGACAACATGGGAATGGTAGGTAGTCAGCTATAAAACCATGGCAGCAGCATTGGTCATTGAAGAGGAATGTGTGTGGTTTTTATCCTTAGATTGGCAATTGAGGAAGCAGACATCGTATGTATATTGATGGGAATATAATATAGAAACTGGGAAGAAACTTGGACAGTATTTATTAGCTATCTTTCTATTTGCATAAGGCTGTTCATCATTGGTAGGACTGATTATAATGTCACAAGCTTAGAAACAACCTAGTGTCCCTTGGTGAGGGATTCGACTGGTAGGTTCTGGCCAATACTTGGTGGTGCACAGCACAGCCTTTTTTTTTTTGAGACAGGGTCTTACTGTGTACTCCACGCTGGCCTTTAACTCACTGTATGGCCCAGGCTGACCTCAAACTCACCGGGATGCTCCTGACATCCTCCTGCCCCAGCCTCCTGAGTGCTGGGGTCACAACTTAGTCACAGTGTCCAGCAGCACAGCCTTTTAAATAACGATGTGGCTTTGACAGGACAGCAGCATGCACTGGTGCTCTCCCTTTCACTTGTGTGCACAGATCAGTCTGTACAGGTGTTAGGTGGCTCTCTAAGGAGACTAAGAACAGCTGATACATTCTTTATGCTTTTCTATTTCTCATGTTTATAAGGAACATTGAGTCATTTTTAAAAGGAAGACAGGGCTGCATCTCACAACGGAGGCAGGGTTCTTTGGCATGAAAGTGTATGGACTGATTAGAACTGGAGGGTCACTTCAAGGGCAGGGCTGAGCACCAGTGCCATTAACCAGGACAGCCACTGCAGGATTAAGCAGATGGAGAACAAATCCTGCCACTCGCTGCACCGCTAGATAAGCAGAAGGGGAGTGGACTGAGAAGAGGCCCCAGGACACTGAAGCAGCATAGTGCTCTGGCCACACCCTGGGGGAGCCTCTGTCCTTACCTTAATCTCTGTTGTCCGCCCCTTCTGTAGTGGAGTGCCTGCTGGTCCCGTTGCCACTCTGGTCCTATCATCTCACCATTTTGTCCATCTGCCTCCTGCCACCTCCCGGTCTGGGCCTCAGCACCTTGTGTGTCTGTTGCAGGAGTGCTGGCCCCTAGCCCACTGCCCCCTCCGTTCCCAGGCTCACTTTCTTGTACTTTTGGTGCCTCATCCTTCTGCTAAAAACCTCAGGAGCCACGGGTCCTCAGCCTAGAATTTATAGCTCCTGGAGATGTAGCCTGTCTTTGATTGCCACTGCTGCTCATAGCAAGTCCCTGCCCCTCCTAGGCTGTAGTACACAGACATTTCCTACACAGGCCTTTAGGGTGTGCTCTTTGTAGCAGTGCTGGGTCCAAGTTTCTCTCCAGTCTCCCTGGATCCTTTCTCCCCACACTTCACTCTCCTTCTGCCACTCAGCAGTGTTGCTGTTGCTCTTTCCACACTCAGCTGAGGACAACCCTAGTTTATTTATCAAGTAGCCACGCCTCCTTTTTTTTGAGATACACTGTACCCTTGTGTTTTCTGTTTTTTTGTGCTTTATTGATGTTCAGTACTTGAATAAATTTAAAGAGGAATGAATGGGTAACTCATTTGAAGATTGCAGACCTGTACACAGGGAAACAAAGAAAGAACCAGGGAGTTAGAAGACCTTTGTCGTTACTATAGTTTGAATATGTCCCCGTAAGCCATGTGCTAGAAATTTTAGGGGCTGGGGGATGTATCTCAGTGGTAGAGATACTCTACTGGAGATTCTCTCCAGTGCTGCAAAAAAAGAAAGAAAGAGAAGGAAGGAAGGAAGGAAGGAAGGAAGGAAGGAAGGAAGGAAGGAGGGAGGGAGGGAGGGAAAGGAAAGAAAGAAAGAAAGAAAGAAAGAAAGAAAGAAAGAAAGAAAGAAAGAAAGAAAGAAAGAAAGAAAGAAAGAAAG